TCCACATTTTGAAGCATAATTAGAGATGTGACGAAAATTGCCAAATTGGATAATGCTGAGAGCCAAGCGCCATCTATCGTGTGGTAAACGAAGCAGGGGCGGTAGGGACGGCGGGCCGACAGCGTTGAACGTTTATTTTTCTACGTGATCTTCTCGCGCGTCCCGACTTCAAGCAGCAAGAAAAAAAGTACTTGAAACGCTGGATCTACAAACACCTGAGAAAAGCCAGAACGGCCACGAATTCATCGACCCGCGACCAAGCGAGCACGGCAGATAGGCCTAGCAGGCACTCCGAAGCAGGCACTCCGACTCCGGCGCAGCGTTGCTTCGACGGTACTTGGCCAAGACCGTCTGGCCACGACCGGTTGGCGTGCTGAATGGAATATGCCCGCGCGACCCTTGTGGACCCTTCCCGTGTTTTGATCGCTGACCTCAATTTTAGATTAAGGGGTGAGGTCGATCTCTTCCCCTTGTTTTCCGAGGCAATGTTGACGAACACTGTCGTCGATTCTATCTTCTTGTTTTGTGTGATACAGAGCTCAAATAAACGCCGTATGGATTACCTTCGTAACACGGTATGGACACTTTGTTATTGGTATGCCATTTTTATTCTGACAGGCTGCACGTCACTGTCGAGCTATAACAGTTCGTGGGAGCTACGTGCAATGCCGGTCCAACCTTCCTTCGCGCAGTGTCGCGTCAGTATCGAGTTGAAATCGTAAAAGATCAGTCCCGAAGCGCTTAACAACAGCGCAAATACAGCACTTCCATCAAACGCGCGCGTCCGCTCCGAGTGTGAACAGGTATTTACGCGGCTCTTGCTGACACTCGTAGTTCAAACGTATATTTTTTAACGTCGGCTCGCTCCTGCATCTCCGAGGCCGCGAAAAACGTCGCGGCAATTTGTCTGTCTCTACGTCGCTTTGCGAACGGCTGACACGGGCCGCCTTTTACCAACAATGAAAGTTGGGTTGACTTCTAGAGTCTTCACCGGAAGACTCGCCGCACTTCCTAACAGTCATACCGGCGTATGTGACTAGTCCCATGCTGTAGGCTTTAGCGCAACATATCTAATTGAATCTCGCTCAGCTGCGATGTGTCCATGGCTACCGCGGCGATGAGAGGCGCCGATTAAAAAAATACATTGGTGACATCAGCGCCATCAGCGCAGTAAAACCTACCAGCACACCGCCAACTCGCCGCCACTAACTGCCGCTAACGCTCCCATTCTCCTACTGCCGAGAGAACTTCCGGTTCCGGAAACAGGGTAGGTCAGGACCGTCAAAATTACGCCGCAGCTTTTTTTGCGGTCAGTTGGAGAGAAAAAGGCGATATTTCATTAATTTTTTTTTGTGTGTGTGTGTAGAAGTTAATAAACCGAGACGAAAATGGATGCCTGTTCGGCATTCAATGAACATTGACGGTTTAATGTAAAAGTTATCTGGGAAAAGTAAAATGGTCATTTCATGGTCCCTTTAAGCCGGCGCAGTTTGCCGTTCTCCCATGAAGTTCGCCGGTCACCGGCCGCCCGCTCGCGCAATCTCCTCACCCGTTTGAACAAACGGGTGAGCGGTATGGCTGAACATTTTCTGCTATGAACCCGCTTTGTTTCTTACAAATGCGAAATTGTTTTTTTTTGTCGGTAGGGTAGCAATAAATAAATAACGTATTGAGGTAAATATGTACAAATAAATTGTCGGATAAGGATCAAATTACACCAATTAAATTACCGTTATTGATTTTCTACTCCAGCGTAATCGAATTCCTTTATCTTATGTGGGTTACTTTCCAAATCAACATGCTTATGTCGTAAGCAATTCGTTACAGCTGAAACATTTTGATTACTCTATTTTGCATAGACTCGATGAGCGAAGTTGCGGAAAAAACCTTTACCCTTGAAAAAGGCAATATATTAAGCCTTGCAAACGCTTATGCGTCACATGTTGCTATTGTTTGCCGTCTACGTTTCATTACATCTATTTTTGTATAACTTTGTGTACAGTAAAACATACAAACCCTATTGTGCCACGACTTGCGAAATATATTGCCATAAATGAACAAAAAAAAATGAAATAAGTAAATGAGTCAGTACACAACAAAACCAAAATTCGCAGTAACCTTCCTCTTCGAGATCCTAGAATGCGTGAAACTTCTTTAAAACTCCTATAATGTAGGAAATGAAGTTAAATCAATTAGATGTTACGTGACCGGACGTCACATGACATATAAGCAATTCAATTTACCCTTTAAATTTGTAGGGAAAGCTTAGTTGGTGCATAGGTCAGGTGACATGCATTTTTCCACTGAATTTAGCGAGGAGATTAAGTTTCAGTATAGGTCATGTGACGTCAGTTTTTCGGGTATATTTAGCGGGAAAACACAACTGGTGCATAGGTCACGTGACGTAAATCAGGGTTGGGCAGTATCGCGATACAAATGTATCGCGATAGTATTTCAGGAATACATTTCGTATCTGTATTTCTGTATCGCGATACATTTTTTTCGCCAGTATTTGTATTTCTGTATCGAAATACATTTTGAATGTTCCTTTGTATCGCGATACAATCAGGTTGAAATGTATTTCGTTACATTTTTTTTAGAAATACTCAACCCCCCCCCCCCCCCCACCAAAAAAAAAAAAATCCGAACGCTTTTTTTTTTTATTTTTGAGGGCACCAGGGCCAAGGAGATGATGGGGCATTCTTACCATGCTGACCAAGGTTCCTTGCGATTTTCTAAACTATTTTCCTATGCGTCCTCTTCTCTCTTCTGAGAACTATTGCGCAGTCAGGGATTCGAACCAGGTGGCGTGCCAGGAGTGGGGTCCGAGCATCTTGTGCCGCAGGTCCTTAGGTAGTGGTTTTTTGAGTCATTGTTTGCGGGCATCCAAAGCCCGCTGCTTACCGTCTCTTTTGCCTTAACGAACTCAAAACACCCATGCGGCAAAGCTGAGTAACAGTTCGTTGCAGCACGAGCCTGGTGGTGGCTGACTTAAAATTGTAGGATAACTCGCGCAGTGAAGTTCAACAGATATTTGAATGCGTCTGCGGCTGCGCCTGTAATATTGCACGGCTCAAGGGTACGTCATCAGCCGACGTTAAAGTGGCCCGCTGCTGTGGTGATCCGAAACCCAGGAAGGAGGTCAGACGTGGCCTCGCTGTGCCGACCCAGACTTTGTACACCTGCGACTCGTCTCGAGCACGCTGTTTCTCGGAGAGCTCGCACCTCTGTCGGCAATATCAGGTCGCAATCCACGACGTCTTATTTGGAGTATGCAAGGCAAAACTTTATGGACTGCAATCCATGCGTCGGTGGCGCAGGGTCAGCAGGAAGCAGCTTCACAACAGGGATGCCACAGTATCGTTTTTTCAACCGTAACAGAAGATAAGACATGTGTTCCAGTATGCTTCAGGTGGTCCACTATTCTCGAAAATCCTGCACAACCTTCAACGAGGTAAATTACAACGAAATTACATATTGTCCTTTCATACAGCAGCGCGTTAAATTTCATGTTCAAGGCCACACCTACAGATAAAGAATACCAGTTCATTCCACCGTGACGTCATGTGATAAACGTTGACAGGGGCGTCCTTATTTAACAGGGGGTGGTGACGTTTTGATGGGATTTAGGATGACAGAGAATTTATTTAGAGGTCGAAGTCTTTTCGCATTCCTCGTCAGACAGACAGGATGTCAGGGAAGGGACCACGGTCAGTCCTTAATGGAACGTTTTTCTGAGCCCATTGAAGACTCCTCGCCGTCCGAAATCACTACCTTCAAGGCAAAGTGCCAAGCCTACGGGAAAGTAATTTCAGGATAAAACATTTCCACTTCCAACTCCAAGCTTCATTTAATTTGGTCTCAAATAAATTGGAAAAATGTATTGCAGTATCAGTATTTCTGTATTTGTATATCTGCCTTCCCTAAAATGTATTCCTGTATTTGTATTTCCAAATACTTCTTGCCTATATTTAAAATGTATTTCCGATACGTATCGCGATACACATTTACAGATATATTTCAGTATCAGTATTTTAGGTACTATTTTAAAGTATCCCAGTATTTGTATTTCCAAATACATTTTGGAGTATTTCTGCCCAACCCTGACGTAAATTTATCCGTTAAAGTTAACGAGGAAACTGGATTGGTCTGAACATCCAGTGACGTCAAGTCAAGTGAAATGATAATTCGCGCTATATTAGGCGGGGGAACAGAATTGGTGTGCAGGTCAATTGTTTCGCCGAATTTAGCGGGGTAACTGTATTTTTGTATCGGTCATGCGAGTGTCAGTTTTACGCCAGCGGGGAAACTTAATTGGTGTATAGGTGGCGAGACGTCAAAATTTCCGCTAAATTTAGCGGAGATGCTCATTTGGTCCGTAGGTCACGTCAAATCCAATTTCCCGCTGAATTTAGCGGGGAAACTGAATTGGTGTATAAATCATCTGACGTCAATGTTTCCGCTAAATTTAGCGGGGAAACTGATTTGCTGTGCAATTGATGTGACCTCGATAGTTTCACTAAATTTTGTGGGGAAACAAATTGGATTATAGATCCAGTGATATCAGGCCACGTGACATCAAATTTCCCGCTAAATTGAGCCGTAAATGCACGGACGGATGGACGAACTGACGAACGGACAGAGAGACAGAATTTTGGGTTTGGGGATATTGTTAAAAAGCTTTTCATATGTAATGAATAAATAATTACTAAGTAAAGAAGGCCACACACTAATAAATAAATAAATAAATAAATACTCTCCAAATTTCGCGCAGAAATCTTAGCCGTTTTCCCAATTGGGAATTTCGTAATTAACATATATTGATATTGTTATCAGAAAGGCTTTTATGATTTTTTCTAAACGGAATACCTTCTCTCAGTCGTCTATCTTTCGCTTTAACGGAGTCGATCGCCTCGTTGGCGCTTGCTCATCTCGCTATACATCGTCGTCTAGCAGAGCCGCTTAGATGGTGACAAACGTCACAATCAACTACCACCTTTTTAGTGTTTCTTAGCGCGCTTCAACCGAAAACAAATTCGTATAATTCACCAATAAACGGAGTGCATTAAAAAATTCCACAAAGCTGTCTTTTTTCTTCTTTTTTGTTTCTAGGTAGATGCAGGAAAACGGTGGAAACAGCCAGGTTGACGCCGCTACGCTTCATTAGTACCCCGCCCAATCGAATCTGATGGATGTGCTTTCAGAAATACATTTGAAAGATGCCTTCTCGTTTTATGTTCCGCTCTGGCCTTCTTCACAATGCCTCCCTAGCAAGAAGCGCCGGCCGAAGAGAATAGAAGCGGCGGCCCACCAAGACAGCTTCACAGCCGGCTAATGAGATGCCGGGATAGAGAGAATGGCATTTGGCTAAGGAAAAAGAAGGTAGATGGGACCGTTCTTCTATGTCCAAGCGCCGAGTGAGGGGTCGATGCTCGTCTCAAGCTAAAAAAAAAAAGTCCGAGGAACTCTAAGCACTTTTTATGAGCTGTGAACGCGAAAGCATCCCTGGCTCACTGTTGACTGCTGCGGCGCTGCGTGGGGATGCGGCGAGAATGCGAAGCTCGGCGAGGCGCCGGGAGTGCGAAGCTCGGTGCGGCGTGTGCTGAAATCGCATGCCTTTTCATCATCATCACCGCCCTAGCTGCGGGTACCGGTTAGGGACGTCAGACCTCCGAAGCGTAACGTTAAGCTTCACGTTTGGACTGACGTAGGGCGCGCGCATACTCGCTTCTCCTTTCCCCCCTTTCCCACTGCGCCGGTAGCAGTTCATCTGGCTCCTTAGCAACTATGACTCTGTTGCTATGGGGCCACGTGACGCGCTGCCCCCAATGGGAATTGAGGTGCCATTTTTTGCGGGCTTTATATACCAAGGAACATTTATTGCTTTCGCATTAATAATCGGAACATGTCCTTTAAAGATAAAACGCCAAAATGCTCTCGCATTTCAACGTTTCATCTATGAAGTAGTCTTGAGTGAATCAATGCAGGGACAAAGCCCTTTCTTTTTTTTTATCAAAGTTTACCTTTGCGTACTTGCTCCATCGCGGGATCCCGACCAGCTTCTTACGAAATCTCATCTGCGGGGCGCTGGCGCTGAAAGTAAAAACTGCCTCTCCTCCCGGCTTCATCAGCTTGGCGATGTTCTTGAGCGCCTGCTTCTGGTCCTTCAGCCAGTTGAGGAGGTGGAGCGCGTAGACGCGATCGAAGAGCCCATACCGCCCCACAAAGTCAGAGAGGTCGTCCGATACAATGTCGAGGGTGTCGTAGACAATCTTTGGGTGGTAAAAACGCTCCCTCGCATACCTCAGCATGTCTTCGGACGAGTCGACTGCGACTAGCCTTCGGCAAGGTGGGCACTCGGGCAGAAGCACGTCGCGCGTGATGTTCCCAGGGCCGCAACCCAGGTCCAGAAACTGCTGGTTCCCGGTCGAGCCGCTCGGAAACGTTCCTTGAACGTAGCGCAGTACATTGGCAGATGTAGAAACCCATTTCACACCTGTTACTTTAACGTACAGCTCTGGAATCAGCGTGTATTTCGTGGGTTCGGTGTTTTCCATCGCGACAGACTCGATGTAGGAATGACGGGAGATGCCAGATGGCTGGTGTTACGGCCAGAGGTTCTGATATGACCTAAACGCTAGATGGGATCACAAGCTGTAACTCTGAAAAAAAAAAAAGATGTCATGCAACGTCAGACCAGATGCTTCTTTCCGGGAGGCTCGGCAGCGGCATGTGAGCAAGCGGATTCGGCTTACACGTTCGACGTCCTTCGATGATCCCGCTGCGTAAATAGAGTACAAGGGCGTTTCATTGGAAATCAAACGCAGGTGTTGGAGAGGGTAGTTTTGGCTTTTTCTCGTAAACATGTAGGGAATAGTGCCACGTTTCATATGACCATAACAGTGAAGTCTTAAACGTGATATTTTATCTTCACAAAAATTATAAGGCGGATCAAGGATTGGTGCACCATGATACATGTTATTGAACTTGCTGTTTCACCGTGCCTTCTTTGTTTTATTTTTTTTATTACTGAATATGCCATGTTCTGCTGAATGTATTCATTGCATTGTTGTCTGTTGAACTGTTGGGGGGGGGGGGGGGGGCAGGGACTCTGTCAGGTTCCACGCCTTTATCTCTGCCCCTAAACAAAAAAGCACGGCAAGCAAAAAGAAAAAAAAAGAAAAAAAAATGTTTGTCTTTTATGAAGAATAATGTAAAAAGATAACCCTCGCACTAACTTTTCTTAGGAATGCATTTTTCTCGTCCAATTTTTTTCTAAATTAATTCCCTTTTTTATATTTCATTCCAGATTTAACAAAACGTCAAACATTCGTTACTCTTGGTGTTCTAGTGGCATATTTGGAGCCTTGTTTCTAGGATTAATCGCAACTTTTGCTTACTATACCGGGTGTTTTAGCGAAGACTCTCAAGCGTACCCAAAAGTAAAGTGTTTGAGGGGAAGAAACAATTTTTTTTTGTCGGGGGCAACAAACTGTTAGCCATGGCAGACGTCAAGGAACGTAACAAACTGAAATAAAATCATCTGGTGGGTTAGTTGACAATACGTCTAGGTAAATTTAGCGCAAAGACAAGAGAAGAACATGAAAATAGAGGCTTCTTACAGCTGGCGTTTTTTACTAACTCAGAATGAGAGAGAGAGAGAGAAAACATGTATTTATTTACCGAAAGGTTCGATTAGTGCCCGCGTTCAGTGTTTTGGTTTGGATGCTCGTACCGCAAAGGTGGTTATCGCCACAAGAAAAGCATCGGCCTCTTTACCGGCCCACAGCCGCTTTGCTTCTTCGGTGGCGTCTTGGAGAAGGAGCTGCTCTTCCTCCTTTGTCAGAAGCACCCTTATGGGGTTTGTGGCCATCGAGTCCTGTAAAGAAAGCAGAGCATTGAAACAAGAAAAAAATGCTTGGTAAGGGTACTATACAGAACTAGTGATAGCATAAAACCCTGGAGCTTCGGTTTCGGACTGTTTCAGAAGATTCTAAAACATTTGGATGATATTTCGGTTGTCTTATTGGTACAGCAGTTTCGTCGCTATCTAGTCCGCATGGTATTTGTGGACGTTTTGAATATTTAAAGACTAAAGCTTTGATTGAGACCGAAATTCGACAAGTTTTTGGTTTATTCTCTGCGTTATTGCAATAGACACCCGATTGCCAGCGGTGTGAAGGGATCCTCGTGCGATCCCCATGTTGAGGCTTGCCGTCGCGTCGACTCATCGAGCGTGTTCTTAATCCGTGCTCGAAGTGACGGACTAGCTGACGGCAGGAGCTCAATAATAACAGCTTTAAGACATCTTGTGAGTGTCCAGAGCTCTGGGTGTGCTGTGCAGGCGTCCCGAACATTTCGATCACGAATCACGGTTGACTGATCAGTGATCTCAATCCACACTGGAAACACGCTGCGAGCTGTCGTCAGCGGAGCATTCTACGTGAAAGGAGCCTAACTGTGATGCACAAGCAATAAACGTCTTCTGATAAGCAATGGCTTAGTATCTTTCCGAAGAACTACGAACAATTTACGGAACCAGTGCAGCAGACCGCGGCGGGAATTGAAGTAAACCTTGTTATTTTGTACCGCGCAAGTAGCTGTAGCTCCGTGAGTCTGTAACCGTCATTTGCAGCCTGTGCTGCTGTGGAAAATGGTCGCTGTTTGCGTCACCTCAGAAACGCACTTAAGAGGGCGCGGTACCTCTATTTATTCGTCCGTTTCAGCCACCAGATGGCGCGCGGCTCGAAACGTGGTTGAACGCGCAACTTCTAGATGGCGCCAGTATCGAGGTGTGAAAAGGCCCGCGTTATCCGCTGCGTGAAATAGATCCCGAAATGTGCCGTGTTCTCCCGGCGGAGGAAGTTTCTCCCTCCCTCGCGCGCGCTTGGTATGTACGCGCGGTGGCCGAGTCCGGCCTCTGCGCTGTGTGATGCAGTGGGTGGCGCTCGTTTCTGTTCGGAGGTAGGAATAAAAATGCCGGTCTCCTTTTTTACGACGCTCGTTTCTATAGCTGGTTTTTCTTCTTTTTCTATCTCAAGTGACCTACAGTACCGCCTGTTCGAAATCGTCCTTTGCGGTGAGCGATTGAGAGTCAGGTTAGCATTTTATTTGGGTCAGCACTACACGTTCAATGGAGACCTCGGGCGGCGATGTAAATATGCATTGCTCCCCAAAGTGTGTCCAAGGTGCGCAATGACAATTGGAAAGGGTATTGAAGGCGCGCGACCGTCGGTTGGTAAAATACGTGCGTTAGATTCACTTATTCAGTCTAATCATTTTTGCCAACGTCTTTTATCTGTTTCGACAAATGACATGGTCGAGTCTATTGATAACCTTAGCTAGATTGGACGTACGGAGTGTCCGCGCTTTAAATAAATTTGCTTCGTTTATGTGAATGAATAACTGTTTCCTCTTTTCCGTGCTCGGTGCTATGCAAAAATCGCTGAGGTGTTATGGTAGCTCAGTGTGGCGGCGTTTTGCACGCTGACTCGCTATTGCATTCGCTGTGCACAATATGTGTTCAGATGGAATGTGCCAAATCGTATTTCCGATCGATATGATAGATTTACTTTGCTACAGTGTTAATTATATTTTCCTGATTTAAACTGGTTCGTCCCTGATCTGAGCCTAAGTTCAAATTCGAAGGGCAGACAGACTTAGCGTCGTAACGAATCCCGGAGAAAAGCTCACCGGAGAAAAGCTCACCGGAGAAAAGCTCACCGGAGATAAGCTCACCGGAGGAAAGCTCACCGCAAAACCGGCAGATGCGGAGAAAAGCTCACCGACAATTGAGCGCATGCGGAGAAGAGCTCACCGATTTTTTTTCTTCTTTTCATATGGAGGCTGTTGGATAATGCGTAACATATGTCAATTTATTATCATTCAAATTCGTCAGCTTTGCAAAATAGAAAATGTCCTTTTTTTGTAATATTTGTTAAGCTTATTGGGTATATTGCTCCCAAATCAATAATTCCGGGTGAGTGTTTTCTGTTGCTTACTTTCTAAGCAACGAAAGCCTAACCGAAAACTTTATGAACTTGAAGAACAGTAAAAAGTTCGAAAACTTAATAATGTTCGCCAAAAACCTAAAAATACAAACTGTAAATGCCGAAAATCCGAAAGTGCATGCGCAACAACGCGGTGCCGGAAATTCTCTTTGGAGCTTTTGTTAACCTTTGCAAACAGGATAAAACGGTCAGTAGGATGATCGAGGCATCTTTCTCCCGCGAACATGCACGTTTTCTAGATGTTCGTACTGGTGTTTTCACACGTTGCCTTTGTGTGATAGTGCCCCTCTACGGTGAACCACCCATGTCCTTCAGAGCTGCATACTGTCATCGTTGTTACTCGTCACCGTATAAAAACTAATCTTTTGTGAGGTAGCGAATAGGGCGAGTTGGTAAAGGTTACGCATGACGAAACCGCTCAAACGAAGACGACGGAGTGAAGAGCACAAACACGACAGGACGAAGCTGATGTCGCAACTACAGTTTTGTTAGTGAAATTAAAGGAAAGAAAACAGCGTAGCCGACACTGATGGCATCAACAAACACCTACTTATCTATTAGGCACTACACAACATTTGGAGCTGAAACGGTTCACACACCGCTATTCATATTAGCTCGCAAAGAACAAACTTCTTTATCTGACAGAGCTGCCGACGGCGCGCGCGCTGTTAGCTGTGAATAAATTGTTTTCTTTTTTAACGGCGTACGATGTTCTGATTTTATACTTGCGGTGCGGCTCCATTAATATACAAAATGGGTGATTACTAATCTCCGAGGAATTAGTAAATATGCCCAGTGAACTTCAAGAATATTTAAAAAAAGAGGACATATTTTTAATGAAGTGAAGAATGCGAATTCCGTTAAATTGCCGCGTCTGACGCAGAATCCGCTAAGTTAAAAAAAATTGGTGAGCTTCTCTCCGCATCCGCTCAAAGGCCGGTGAGCTTTTCTCCGCATCTGCCGGTTTGGCGGTGAGCTTTTCTCCGGTGAGCTTTTCTCCGGTGAGTTTTTCTCCGGTGAGCTTTTCTCCGCCGCCCCGTCGTAACAGCCGTAATGCGCAGAAAGAAATTAGTACCATGAAAGAAAAACAAAAGGATACGAGGTGGCTCAGTGTTATAGAAGTAATGAGTGTGCAAAAAATGCCATCGTACGTGTTGTTTTTTTTTTTAACTCTCCGCATCGCTGGGAAACGCTCAAGGTACCAGCAAAGACAGCGAGCTGGCGTGAAATTTCCATCGAGCGGAAAACGAGTGTCATTTTTATTTCATCATGCGCTTTCATTTTGATATGGCTCAAAATGGGCGCGAAATAGTAACAGGTAAGGCAACAAAATTTAGATGTTAGGTCTGGAGCACCGCCATACCCAGCCGTGTTGGGGGCATCTCTCGCGAGTCAATACGGCAAAGGTATTGCGCGTCGAACTGTACGTGAGAGTTATCCATTTCAGCGAAACCTTGATTTCGCAAAACTATTGTGGCTCGAGTCGTGGCTTCCAGTACTTGGAAGCCATGAGCGAGAAATAAATGACAGTTGATTTTGAAGGACAATCGCGACGTGGAAACCCATAAAAGAGAGACGAGAGCTTCCCCTTCTCTTCAAGTGCGTGGGTTACGCTCTCAATCCTGCACCTGTGGTAACACTGCAGGCTCCTAAAATCGCTTTAAAAACGTTCCTGATCGCAACAACTTTTTTTTTTTTTTTTTGTCGAGGCGCTATTTCATTTTTTTTTTTCTTTTTGTCTACCTTGATACCCCATCAGCACAAAAGCTACGAATAACTAAAAAAAAAAAAAAATAGTGGGCATACAACGACAACGCACCCACTGGGACCCGAGTCAAGGCAAGAACAACTAACTACTAAAAGGGGAAAAAAATCATGTTCGCATACACGGACAGAACGCCTCCATCGAAAGAAATGAATCATGCGCTTGTTCTGCCAGTCTCGTTGTGCGTCTGTCAAAAGCCACAAAGGAGGAAGACAATCAGCGCCTACACCACTCCACTCCCCTCCCCCCCCACCACCCCTAAAAAGAAAAAAAAAGGTTTCTTGGGCGCGCGCGCGGTCGCCCAAGCGATGACCTTGGAAGGGTATGCGATTGTAGCACGTTTGTACCCCGGTTGTGCCCCTGTCTCAAATGCCACGGTCCGTTTTTCCCAAGTGCCCGTCTTATCTTCCCGAGTATCAACTCCGCAGTGATTCTGAATCATTCCGATGCTTTCGAACGTTGCAAAACTGTTAGACGAATATTTGCACAGAAGTATACACTGTTCGCAGAACTATCTACGGCGCTAAAAAAACAAGTAACTACTTTTTGATACAGCGGCCGAGCCCGCAGTGTTGCGTTGTCATTTCGATTGAGTGCTTCCATGTCATCCGTTCCTTGCTGTTGCAATCGGGGGACATCGAAACTAATCCTGGTCCTGATACTAACGCCATACTAGCCGAGCTAAAAAAACTATCCACCGGTCAATCGAAATTACTTGCAGAGGTACAAGACCTTAAAACCCAGCTATTAACAACAGATAAAGCGATATCAGATTTAAGCGGGCGCATGACTGCGCTCGAAAACCATTATCAAAATCTCGCCCCCGTGCGCACCGAATTAGAAAATGTAAAAATCGAGACGGCTCAGACGGCCCGTTTGGTCTGTGGCTTGGAGGCACGCTTCGACGATGCCGAAAATCATTCTCGACGCAACAACCTCATTTTCTATGGCATCCCTAACTCCACTGGACCAGAAACGTTTGCCCAATCAGAACAGCTCGTCATCCGGCACTGTCGTGATCACTTGAACATAACCATAGACCCCAAAGAAATAGAGCGTGCACATCGTCTTGGACATCACACATCTGACCGCCCTCGCCCAGTAATCGTTAAATTCACGTTCTATAAGACAAAAGACACCATACTATCTAATGGCCGCAAGTTCAAAGGAACAAGTTTCAGTGTTGGCGAAGACTTTTCTCGGCCCGTCCAAAATGCTCGCAAACACCTACTTGCGTTTGCAAAAAGCAAAAATACGCCGTTTTCTTTACGATTTAAAACACTACTTATGGGCCCGAAACGCTATATTTTTGATGAACCATCACAGACAGTAAGGGAAACAGCATAGCAATTGCCCCGTCAGAAGAAAATAACAGCCCCCTCTCGGAATTCTACCAAAACTAATCTTTCATTTTCCGTAATCTTCACCAACGCGCGAAGCTTTCTTCCGAAACGAGAAATTTTGTCTAATCTCGTGTTGTCCTCTTGTAGTAATTTGTTGATATTAACCGAAACCTGGCTGTCTAAAGAAATCACTGATGCTGAAGTTCTGGCCGATTTGCCGGACTTCCGCCTTTATAGAAATGACCGCCAAGCCACACGAGGAGGAGGTGTTCTCATCGCCGTACACCAGCAGTTGTCATGTTCTATTGTTAACATTACATCCGACCTTGAAATACTATGGATCATATGTCGCGCTTCACCTCAGACGGTTCTTTTGGGAGTCTGCTACAGGCCTCCCCATTCTTCTCCTGACTTTTCTTGTAAACTTAATAACATCTTTAGTGAATTCGCCTTAACGTACCCGAATGCGCATATCCTTCTCTTTGGAGACTTTAACTACCCGCAAATAGACTGGAGCAACCAGATCCCCTCAGCTATAGGCAATGAAGCCGCAAGAGATTTTATTAACGTATGTCTTGATTTTAACCTTGTTCAACTAGTATCCGAACCCACACGTGTTTCACGGGATTCTGCAAACATCCTAGATCTAATACTAACCAGTCATCCCGAAAGCCTATCATCGGCTACTTATCTCCGCGAAGTCAGCGACCACAAAGTAATCCATGCTACCTTCAACTTTTGCCCGGTACGACACCAAACAAGTGATAAAAGAATTCGTCTATATGATAAGGGAAATTATGAAGTAATAAACAATGAGCTAAACGCCTTTCTTCCAATTTTTGAAGCATCATTTTCTAATCGCTCTATTAATACAAACTGGATAATGTTCAGAAATAAATTAAATGAACTTGCAAATAAATTCATCCCACTAATTACGTTCCGTGAGAATCGACAGAAACCCTGGTTTACAAAGTCTTTGAAAAAACTAGGTAACAAAAAAAAACGTCTTTTCCGCTCGGCCAAGCGGAATGGAAACCCCTGCGCATGGGAAAAATACTACGCAGCTGAAGACTCCTATCTGGCATCTATACGTAACGCAAAGCATTCCTTTTTTTATGATGACTTACCAAAGATCTTAATTAACAATCCTAAAAAATTTTGGCAAGTTATAAATCCCCAAGAGACGCGCATCATTAGCCTGACGAACGGAGCGGGCGAAATAGTCACTGACACCGAGTGCGCCAACGCTTTTAACTCCGCCTTCTTTTCCGTGTTCACCGAAGAAACCGATGTCCCTCCCTCTTTAATACCTTCTAACGCAGTATCTACTATGCCAGCTCTCACATTCTCTGTAGATGGCATCTCATCATTAATTGAAAATATCAAACTCTCATCGTCAGCCGGCGTTGACGGAATTAACTCAAAACTTTTAAAAAATACCAAACGTGTATCTGCTGTGTACATGACCATGTTGTTTTCACAATCACTTTCTACAGGCATCTTACCGGACGACTGGAAGGTGGGAAGGGTCGTTCCGGTCTACAAATCGGGTAACAAGGACTCCCCACTAAATTACCGTCCCATCTCTTTAACAAGCGTCCCCTGCAAAGCCATGGAACACGTCATCTACACTCATATAATTAATTTCCTAGACTCTATAGACTTTTTCCACCCCTCCCAGCACGGTTTTCGTAAGGGCTTCTCTTGCGAAACTCAGCTTGCACTCTTCGTTCATGACTTGCATTTTAATCTTGACCATAACCTTCAAACCGACGCTGTTTTTTTAGATTTTGCCAAAGCATTCGACAAAGTACCGCACCAGCGCCTCCTACTAAAACTTTCCCAATTAAATCTAAACACTGCTATTGTTCAATGGGTCCAGGAATTTCTGTCTAATCGGTCTCAGTTTGTCTTTGTTAACAACCACTCATCTAACCCTCTCCCAGTAACATCAGGCGTCCCACAAGGATCTGTCCTCGGCCCGCTCCTGTTCTTAATATACATAAATGACTTACCATCGCATCTGTCATGCCGCATTCGTATGTTTGCGGATGACTGCGTTATTTATCGTACAATCACTAACAGCTCCGACCAGTCATGCCTGCAGAATGACCTTAACCATGTGCAAGAATGGTGCGACTATTGGCAAATGACCCTTAATCCCAGCAAATGTAAACTTGTATCATTCCATCGTCGCCGTAACCCCTTTCTTTTTACGTATACAATTGCTAGCGTCACCGTCGAATCTGTAGAATCATTTAAATACCTAGGTGTAACACTGTCGAACGATTTATCTTGGCGCGCGCATACCACCAACGTCATATCAGCCGCAAACAGAGTCCTTGGATTTCTAAAACGTAATCTACGCCATGCCCCGAAGCACGTACGTTTACTTGCGTACAAATCACTTGTTAGATCAAAACTCGAATACGCATCTGCCATCTGGAACCCTCACCAAGCATATATTACTAACGAACTTGAATCTGTTCAAAATCGATCCACTAGGTTCATTCATTCTGCCTACTCATACGATATCAGCGTTTCATCCTTAAAAGCAGAATGCGGCCTAACACCTCTCTCTCTTCGCCGTCGCACTTCCAGCCTCTCCCTCTTTCACAAGTTTTACTACAGCTCGCTCAACCATGCACCTTACATTGTGCCCCCATCACGCATATCTCTGCGCATTGGTCATCCACTTCAAGTAACACTCCCACGTGCCCGCACTACTACTTTTTTAGCCTCCTTTTTTTCTCAAGCAGCTGCAGACTGGAACGGCCTTCCCCACCACGTCGCCGCCATCACATGTCCGTCCGTATTCATGGAGACTGTCGTCAACCACCTTCCGACATGAATGTCTGTTAAAAATGCTTTTATGTGTAACCCACCCCTTATGTAATACCCCTAACGGGGTCTTTAAGGTAATAAAATGAAATGAAATGAAATAAAATGAAAATTCAAAAGCGCCGTGTTGGATTCGGGAACTCGTGTAGGTTTAGCTCATTGTTGGAACATTCTTATTCGCTCGATGAACTCCAGAAAACGTGTAAATATTAGAATAAACTTTCCAGAGAACGATAGTTGTTGTCGGGGTTCCAGGCGACCGGACAGGTCGCAATTATTGGCTGATTAAAAATTTTATTTCATAATCACAATCGTATCATCAAGGGCACGCCATTTCCTCATCACTTCTTCTACGAAAAGAGTTGCTGTATTCGTAGCACACACAGACGGAAACGGTTGAGACTGTGCCCAAATAATATCTTCTTTTGGCAGGTACTGCGCAGCGATTACACACAATACCTCTAACATAAACATGCTGCTCCACATGTCTATTCACAAGATGCAATACATCGTTCTCCCAACTTTGTTGAAATGGCCATGAAAGCGCGTAACCGTCACTTTTTTGAAGTTCTACTTAGAGGTGAAGTGTTTACCGTAAAAAGTCGTTAATTATTTATTTTTTTCCGTTCCACTACAAAGCTCGATTCCCTTAAATTTTTGTTTTTATATCGTCTCTACAGCGCTTTTACGTCGTTACTTTCGTGCATCACATAATGTGCAAAAAAAAACAACAAAAAAACGGTAGGATCGATGCTGCATAGCCTTTTTTTTTTTGTGGACATCAAGAAAAAAAAAAAAAAAGATAGTAGTTGTCTTTACTTCGCACTGCATGTTTTAGCACGGAAGTTCCTATTTGGTTATGATGTCTTTACTTTCTTAAAAATTGTATACAGTAATTTAATTTACCGAATTACAAAAACGTCGAAATTGTATAATTGCTTTTCGTTGGGACGCCATGACGACAGCGACACTCGTGTTCCCTCGTGGCTTTCGCCAGCCTTTCTACGATGAATTGCCAGGATCGCGAGATGCAACAGCGTGACACTCCGTCTTCTGTGACGTCATTTGTTGCACTTCGGAACCACTTTCGATGTATGGCCAGCATAAGACGCTAACCACACCAGTCGGAGACGCGCTGCAGGTGCCATAGTACTGCTCCTAAAAGTAGCTGTCACGTGCTTTGCTCCGCGACTGTTGCCAAATTACGGTGAAACGGAGTATAGACAAAACAAACCGGAAACGAGCTGCCAGCATACGATAGTCAAACTCCAACAAAAAGGATTAGTTTCTTCCCAAGCTGGACGACATTTACCGGGCATCTTTAGAGCTGCGAAGCTCAAAATCACGCGTACTCATAAGATTTTTTTTTTCTCGCGTGTTTGTGATTTTTATGATGTCCTGCAAGCAAGAAAAAAATATATATGGTGAAGTCACTCCGAGGGGGTACCGATAACTGCGAGCCACGAACATGAAGGATTCGCTAGCATCCGTCAGGAGTGTGAACGGTAAATCGTCACGCAAACATATTCTCACAAGCTGCAAATATTTATTTGGCTTAGCAAGTAGAGTACTAGTATACTAACGACATGTGATTATTGTACACAAGATACCATTTCTCGGTTCTTCAAAACCATTTCCCTAGTCTGAACGGTAGCGCTACGGGCCGCGGCTAGCCGTGCCCTCGATAGACTACGGAGCTGCGTTGTGTCGTCTGCTACTGTACCGCCAACAGGAGAGCGATAGCTCTGTGTGCTCCACAGATGCGTGTTGCGGTATAACTCTGTACGTCTGTCCTAGAGGAAGACAAAAGGATAGGCTCTGTGACCCCCTCCTAAGCTAACAAAAACAAACAGAAGTATACTCGTTTGGACTGAAAGGTTTACAAAATAGTGACCAGACATTGGAAAAGCATATGTCACAGAACTTGGTTTATGAAATGGCATCATTGTTTCGAGCAAGAAATCACCTGCTCACCACTGGGACGATGAAATCGTCACTATTTATTGCGTCAGGTATATTTGCGCTCATGAAGAAAAATCTGAACACATCCTTCTCCCAAAGTCCTATGTCGAATAATAAACACTTTTTTAAACATCTATGCACAAATAACTCATTTTTTTCTACACTTGTATATACACGTTAATTAAACGACGCCAAACCGCATTTCTGATTAGATCTTGATGTCTACACCAACTACATTCATATTTTTTAGGGCTTTATTGAACGATAACTTCAACTATAGTTAATGGAACACGATGGCTCGATCTCAACAAAAACCTCAACGTGCGAAGCTTCCACAGACGGTCGCTTGCGAGTATTCTTAATGTGAGACTTCAGAAGCTTTCGCTTGCCATATGGAGCTTGCTTTCGACTACAGCACTGCACGGGCCCGGAAAGCACGGAGCGCGCTGCTGTAGGGAGAGGTTGACTTACAAGATGACGTGTTACGTGGTCACGTAAGATGGCGTCATTTCGTGCAGCGTGATCACGTAAGATGACGTCATTTCGTGTAACG